TTTAAAAAAAAAAAAAAAAAAAACATTACCACTTTTTTTTCTTGTTACTTATTTCTAGAAAAAAATAAAAAATAAAAATAGAAGATACTGATTTCTAAGTGTCTTAATTTATGGAAAATGAAAAAAATATCTTTTTTAATAGCACTTTGTGTATTTTTTTGCTCAAACCTATTAAATGTTATTGAAAGTAACAGACAACATAAGTGATAAACGTACACATTTAGACAGAATTAACACCACCATTCAAGAAATCTTTAAATACATAAATAAAAGAAGTTAACCTCCTGTTCACTGCTGGGCTACCAAGATTGGTTAAAATTAAATCCTAAGCTATCTGTACTCGTATTAAACAACCAATTTCAAGTTCTAGACTTTTTTAAACTTAATCTAGAAAAGTGGTAGAATAATTATACATTCACATTATCAGCCATATTCAAGTTCAGGTCTTTTTTAAACTTAATGTAAAAAATTTTGGAATAATTATACATTCATATTATCAGCCATTTTCAAGTTCAGGTCTTTTTTAAACTTAATCTAGAAAAGTGTTAGAATAATTAAACATTCACATTATCAGCCATTTTCAAGTTTAGGTCTTTTTTTAAACTTAACCTAGAAAAGTGGTAGAATAATTATACATTCACATTATCAGCCATTTTCATGTTCAGGTCTTTTTAAACTTAACCTAGAAAAGTGGTAGAATAATTATACATTTACATTATCAGCCATTTTCAAGTTCAGGTCTTTTTTAAACTAAACCTAGAAAAGTGGTAGAATAATTATACATTCACATTATCAGCCATTTTCAAGTTCAGGTCTTTTTTAGAAAAGAGATTGAAAAACACACTCACATAACACTAACAATTTTCTCATCAATAACCAAATTCTAGAGTAAATAACTCATTAGATACAACTTCAACATATATAGGTCATGTTTCTCATCAGTATGACAAAGAAAATTTATTAAAACCTTATTCTACGTCACCTGCAACATTTCTAGTAATAAAAATGTTTAATACATAAGACTTACACAGACAAGAAAGGAGTAATGTGCAACTGCACTTCCATGACTCAAAAATGTTTCTGAAGTACACACACACTAGCAAATTTTAATGGAAAAACACTACAGAATTATAGGACTTTGTCTATAAATATTTGATTGGTAAACATTACACAATGTAAAAGGTCACACTAATGTCAGCATGTTTTAATGCATATTTTATAAACTGCTCTAGAGTAATTTGTAAAGCAGTGAGACTAGCTAAAAGCAGGACAGGCCCAAATAGAAAATGAGACTTACAGGAAAGAGATATCGCTGTTGACACTGCTGCATGACTTGTGCCTGACTAGACTGCCACTGCTGGTAGTTCCTAACTGTCTCTGCTGTAGGCCGTTGCCAAGTGGTAGTCCGGGTGTTGTGATCTACATAGTACACCCTTCCTCTGTTGTCTCTTCTTATTTCCCAGCTACAGAAATAATTATTGAAAAATATCACTAACTAACAGCATTTTAAGTGTCAACATAACATTAGGGTTTCATTTATTAGTGGGGTCCTTTGTATGAATATAACTAGTTGTACTAAAGTAAATCAAAATATTCTGTTGGGGAACACCAACATTGATCTGAATTTATGCAAAGACTGATTTGAAAGTTTTTCATCTCCACTTGCAACATTTTGTGTGGATTACTAAAAAAAACTTAGAAATAGAATGTATTCTCATGTATCAACCATCTAATTCTATAATGAAAAAAAAACAACAACACTGGAACAGCAAAAGGTTAATGAACACATTAAAACAGCCACATGATGCTATAATAACTAAACCCCCAAGACAGGATAATCAAAATAGAAAAATATAATCTGTAACTTTAATTTTGAAGTACACTACTTCTGGCATCGTTACTTAATAGTACACACAAACGACAATTTTTTTATTTTGTCTGATGTTATATCAAGAAAATGAGTTGGTGATCTTTATAGCATGTGTAAACTGTATGTTGCTGTTTTACTCATGACCTTGCATAACATCATGTTTTAGTATAATGAACAACAAAGTATGATTAATTATTAGAACATTTCTATTCATCTCTCAAATATACTTTGTCCTGTTAAAAATACCCAGCAACGTAATCATACAAAGGAACCATTAATCACTATTATTCTGTATATTTTCAATTAGGTTCGGACAAGTATCTGCCATAATTATTTCCATTCCAGTCGGCTGGTGATGACTAGAATGTTCTGGTCTAACTTTTAGAATTACTTCCTCCAAATAATCCCAAAAGATGACTTCTTTAATGAATCTAAAAATCATAGAGTTAAGAATATAAAATTCTACACAAGACAAGAATTATCAGAACTGAAAAAACTAGCCAAATTATTATTACTTTTGGAACAAATAAAACCTACACAAAAAAGCAGTAAACTTAAAACTTAACCAGCATATAATTAGTATAACTTATCAAAACAAGTAAAAAACTTAGTGATAGGTAATAGTAATTGATGTCACTTGATAAAAATATAGGTAACCTACCCAGAAGGTAATGGTTGGGGTCGTTCCCATGTGGTACTTCTTGTGTTGTGATCCACATAATACTTGCGACCCTCTGGTGTATGACGTACTTCCCATCTTTATGTTAAAAAATAATAATAATAAAATTCTCATGAAATTATAAAAAGTTGTTATAAATTATAGTAAAATAACAGAAAATTTCCAGAGAAATCAGAATTTATTACTTTAATAACATACATATTTGAATCACAAGTATTAAAAAGATACAAAATAAACAAATCATACTTACATGTAAATAAAAATGTAAAAGTATTAATATTCATAGGAACCTATCAGAATCTATATTTCTGTACATATCTTATAACCAAAGAAATTCTCTACACTTCAAAAAAAAAATTAAATTATTTCAGATATTTTTGTTATAACAATTGTAATTTTGTATACACTACAATAAATCAATATCAATACAAAAATCCAATATACGGTGAACCAAAATATTCAGTTCACAAAGTTCTTTAAAAATACAAATCTGATCTTAAAGTAACAAACCAAGACTCACCCTGGTGGAAGAGGGTCTTCTTCATTAGAACTAACACCTTGCCCAAAAGATCTTGGTAACTTAATAGCTGAAGATCCACCCTGGTTAGTATTATCTGTGGCATGTGATGGACCAGAAACAAGACCTTGACCTAGAAAAGCACTATAGTGTCTTGGCTGTCTGGTCCCCAACAATCCTCCTTGATTTGGTGGATCAGCACCATGAGACACACCTTGACTGACTACAGCACTGTAAGGCCTCACCAATCGCCCAGTTGAGTGTCCACCCTGGGAAATACTGCTTGTACCATAAGACAGATTGGTACTAATGGCAGTAATATCTGGGTTAGCATGAAACTGTACAGGACTCGAAAATGGTGAAGAACTGTTAGCACCCAAAATGTTATTAGGTGTAGCAGATCTGGTGGCTGGTGTACTGCTACTGGTGTCACCTGACCTCGTGGCAGAAGCATGCTGAGGTCGTGAAACTTCTACAAAGCTGATATCTAGAAGACAGGGGTGGATAATGTTATGCAGATAAAACTTTCACCTTGGTTGAAAATGAAAAATTACACAGTTTAATTAAGAAATATGCATATCATATTGTTGTGAAATGTAAAACTACACAACATAAAATTGGACACATTATCAGTTTCATGAGAACATTTAACAAAGATTAGTTCATTACTAATTAACAAGATGCCTCTGAGTAAGTGTCTTTGATGTTTCTCACACATGAGCCAGTTAATTGTATTACAATTGCACATTAGCTAAAAAGATCAGCAAAAATCTTCACATTTCATTACACGCTGATCTTGTAGAATCCATGTGTTAAATGACAATAAATCAGGATGAATGTAACCAAGAAAACTATAAACATTAAACAAATTTAGCTACCCCGTAATTCCTCAGGATCATACAATTCTGAACAAGATATCAAAACATTGTAGCATCCCTAGGTTTATCAACATTCCTCCCATACAATTCTGTTTAGATTTGCATGTAATTACTTCCAAACTGTAGGCCTGTAAGCAGGAGATATACCTTTTCAATTTCCAAAGACAAAAGTCTAAACTGGCAAATATGAATTTATAATAATATTTACATAACAACTCTAACTTTAGAACAATCCTATCTTCATTCATTCTTTTAATTTTAAACTATTCCCAGTTATAAAAGTTAAGGAAGTCAGAATCAGTAATGCAGTCATTTTTCTTCCCTTTAAATCTACAGGCATTGTTGATTATGGGTTCTTAAAGTTCTCTTGTTATTGCATATTTTTCTCTCTCTTATTGGACATTAGGTCATTCATTTGATGAATAAATTGCCAGAGATGGTAAAACTATCACTATAGTCTATATTAAACTTACCAACAGCTCATCACAAACAAAAACCAAAAGAAAGAAACAGAGAAAAGGATGTCACTACTTAGAATATGGCTTCTGATAACATCCTCACTGTCTAACAAAAACTATCATAAATTGTGTTGCGTTTAAGTTGAATATTTCTTTTATACCATGGATACATTCTATTTTTAAAATACGCATCACTATTCTAAAAATAAGGGCTATCTGCCTGGTGTCCTGATGTTAAAATTTTAGGTGAGGAACTGGTTAAACCAACTTAGATGAAATTTGGTAGAAGAATTTAAGTAGACCCAGACATCAAATTTAAATGGATAAGCACTCAGATGAATAGTTCAAGTTTGGCATTTAAAATAGTTATTATGTAAAGCCGATGCCAAATAAAAGTGATTTTAATGCTGCAAGTAGCATGGATACCTTTACTAATTACTTGCTTTCATTAACACTACATAGCAAATGGTGCAGATGCACAACATATAACCCATCCTCATGAAGCCAATGAGACAAATCCCTTATGAGGCACAAGTTTATTTATAAGACTGAGTTGGTTTTAACTATCTAGCCCAAAGAACAGTCATCAGAACACTGGCTGCTATGCAAAAGTAACTGTGAATGCGCAAATAGATAGAGATGACCCCCCCATATCAGAACAAAGAAACTAGGATAGAACTTGCAATATGAAAATGAATGTTACAACCATATCACATTTTTGACATAAGATTAATCATTATATGTAAATATTAAACATGGCTATTTAGGTCTTTGAATGATGAGATGGCTTTAATTACAATTTTCCAATAATATTTAACTAATTCCTGCAGTCACCACAAATTACAAAAAAAAAAAACTGGCACACAATATTAATGTTCCAAAACTCCTGTCAAAATTCCAGGACTTTCTAGAATAAAATAATCATAAATTATATAAAATTATCACATTTTTGTTAATCTAATTTTTACCATAGCATTCTCTCATTTGGCCCCTTAGAACTGATATCAAAAACATTAAGCATCTTCCCTAAAATAGATTACACCTCAGTATAAAAAAAAATTTCTTCAAATTCTGATATTGAAAAAGAATCAAATTAAATCAACTTCTGTGATAGTTTAAGTATTGAAATTTGCTTTTCAGCTTTTACTGGGCATATATAAAGACTTTTTGTGTGGTACAGTTCTTGACCTGTATGGATTGGATACAAAATGATATTTATAATTATCTACTGTTAGAATAAATTAATGTTACTTTATTTATGTTCATCTAAATTTAAATATTTTGAGTTAATATTGACTGCAGAATAAACAATCTCATTAACGATGTACTTTTATCTTTGAAATATCACAAAGTTACTTAACATTGCATATGGTAAAATTCACTGCCAATTAACCACTGTAAGTACTTCAGAAAGAACTACATACCAGTACTGCTAAAGGCTCGAGGAACAGTACCAGAGTTGCTACTTTCTGGTACAGACTGAATTCTCATATCCTGCAGCTGTTTTGACAGGTTAACAATGCTTGGAGATGTGCTACCTGAACTGCTGCTTGGAGAACCATTAGTAACTCGGAATGGTACTGGACTGGGGTTTCCTGACCTTTGAGAAACAAGACGAGGTTCTTGATGTTGTTGATAATCACTTTGGTTGTTGCCATATGCAGGACTAGATGAGCGAGTGCCATTATGGGTAATGCTTCCATTTGACTGAGTGCTTGATGGAGTGTGGGAACCTGTTATTATGCACAAGTGAAAATGAAGATATAATGAAGAGAATGTACCAGGTAGTAAAAATTCTGGTTTTCTAAAAATCAAATCGTAAATGCGTGTTTGTGTATATGTATACCTGTATGCGTGTAAATATGCATGTTTATATATTTACACACACACACAATCATAAAACCTAAAATAAACCTTTTTAATACAATCATTAATTTTTTTTTGTTTTATACTTAGGACTGTATAACAAATACAACTTTTTTAGTCCTTAATGCTTTTTTTTCTTTTACTGAGCTACTTTAACCTAGTTATATTTGCCTTGGCTTTAACTGACAATGCTTCTTAAAATCTTCATTTTTTTTAAAACAACAATGAACAAGTAAAAATAGTTTTAAATTCTAATATCACATAACTACATCTCTACAACAATCACAGTATTCCTTAAAAGCTGAAAAAAGCTGTACAGTGAGCTATCTGGGCTATACCCACCACAGAAAGCAAACCCAGAATTTTAGCATTATAAGCCCTCAAGTTTACCACTGATCCCACTGATGGATAATACAAGAGATTTTCAAAAAAAAAAGAAAAGATAAAATTCATAATGGTGACTTGATTTTGTCAAAAATAAAAATAACTGTCACTGATATGTTTTTTGTAAAATTAATAAATAATGCTAATATTTTTCAGAACATACATTAATTAACATGAAGAAATAAAAAACTATTTTAAACTAATAACTTTAAACCTTTAATGGAAATCTAAAACATGTACTACTCCCATTGTAAGCAATATAATGTTTGTTTCAGTAGGTGCAAGAACAACCTTTTATAATTACACAGACCAATCAGTGATTGTAAATTCATATAAATCAACAGCACAATTAAACAAAGTTCACCACTTCCATTTGCAAATAAGATTATCACTAACACTATTTACTCCATTAATTTATTCAAACAAAATATCTGAGAGTTCAGAATAAAATCTAGAAAATGGTTATTCCACTTCAGAGCAAGAACTCTACATGCTGTGATAAACATACTTTGGGAAAGACTCTTGTTTTACTAAGAAACCTATTATTTTTCTGTGCTGAGCATAAAACCATTTTTAAATAAAAATATTTGAAATCTAAGAAGTATATCAATTTCAGATCTTGCTATAAAGCAAAAACTACATTTCTCTCACAGTTGCCCAAAAGAATAATAAACACTGGAAATGAAAGCATGTTCCCTGTCAAGGCATTCTGGAAAAACAGGTAAATTATCTCAAGCCATGGATACAGGACTTTAGGATAAATATATTGGCCTTTCCTTAATAAAAAGCATATGATATATTTGTTAAATTGTGACTAAACTTAAAAACTGTGTCAAAATACATGTATCCACATAAAGCACTTTGAGATTGATGATGTTTACAAGTGAAGTAAAACATTCTAAACACCACTAAAATTATGGCTAATGCATTTTCAGCCAAAGACACAGGGCTTTTAGATAATCCTGCGACCCTATTTCAAACATTAACATTTTTCTAAACTGAAAATGTATTTCCAATATTACTTACCTCTGCTGACACTATAGCTATTTCTCAATCTCCAGGGTTTCCACTCTTTGCCCATCTAAGCATTGAAAACACTTGCTCCATTCTTTTAAACCTCACTGGAATGCCTTTGGCAAATTCAAATTTGCAAACTTCTCCATCAACTTCAATGCGCCTTCTATCTAGGTACTGTATATAAGCACCTCATTCAGATAAGGTAATTACTTTTTTGAGACATAAACCAGCTTTTTGTGGGGAGGTAGGGTGGGAAAGTGTCAGCAGAAGTAAATATTATTGGAAATACATTTTCAGTTTATGAAAATGTTAACTTCCAAAATATACTTACCTCCACTGACACTATAGTTAGAATGCCACACTGAGAAGGTGGAAGGGCCGGTGTAGTGGTGTACCAGGATAAAAATGGTACAAAAGTGGGGGAACTGCACTACATCCAGAACAGGTATGCTCTTCACCTGGAACTCAGTTCCTATATCATAGGTGGAATAGAATATGAATAATCATCAGTATAGGCCAGCCCCA